AGTGAAATGTGAGGAATTACAATTGAAAAATGCAACATGTTTTAAATTTGAGTTCCATTAGCAACGTTTTTTCTCAAGTACTCTTCGTGGCACATTAAATTTTGTGGAGATGCTTTTAAATATCTTTAATTTTTTAAAATTAGCGACACATTTTTTTTTTTTTTGAATTTTGAAGTTTTTGTAATTACTAGCGATTTAAGGATTGACGGATGAAAGGGTGACGACAACGACTTCACTGTAATTAAGTAATCCAAATAGGCTATGTATATCAAAATTATATTTTTAATTTGAAGTACGATACCCAGACCCATAATGTTCTGCTCGGAATTGAAGAACACCAAAATGTATTTTTATACCCTACACCACAAGGTGGTCAGTGTATTATGTCTTTGTGCATTTATTTGTAACAGGCAAAAGGAAACGAGATAGACCCATAGTTCCTTTTCATGATCTGCATAGAATCACATTCTGAGTCGATTTATGCATGTCCGTCCGTGCGTCCGTCTGTCCATGTATTTTTGTAAACAAAGTACAGTTCGCATTTATTGCCCTATCCAGATGAAATTTTGCACAAATCATTTATTTGGCCCAAGGAAGAAGCCAAAATTAAGATATAGCTCCCATATATATCTTCGTCCGATTTGCCTTTTATTGTGCACCAATCGTGTAATATCAGTCCGAATAGTATGGAATTTTGCACATACAACCAAATTAGGCCTGAAAATAAGTATGCCAAATTTGATCGAAATCGGTTCAGATATATTGTTCATCCGATTTGTTATTTCCTTGTGTGTTATGTCCTCCGCAGCCGTAATATGCACTCTGTAACAACAATATTTGGGGAAATATATCAAATACAGCTCAGAAACATATTTGATAAATTTTATCGAGGTCGGTTCAGATTTGGATATAGCTCCCATATATAACTTCGTTCGATTTACTTTTATTGTGCACCTGACCTATAATATTTTTCCAAATGGGATGGAATTAGGCACTTACGACCGAATTGAATCTCGAAGTATGTAGTATGCCAAATTTGTTGAAGATCGGTTCAGATATAGCTATAGCTCCCATATATACTGTTCATCCGATTTGTTATATTTGTTACCCACATCCGTAATATAATATAATATATTTAGGGAAATATATGAAACACAGCTCAGAAATATCTTTGCCAAATTTTGTTAAGATCGGTTCCGATTTGGATATAGCTCCAATATATATTTATCCGATTTCAAATTAATTTTGCACCAAATGGACAATACAAGTCCGAATTTAAAGGATACAAATGCTTCGACATATTTTGTCCTTTGAACTTTAAATTATAATTATAATCATAGCGTGTATGATTGAATTCTCCCATAAAAAAATTTTAATTGTTATGCAGAGCTCTACTAAATTAGCAAAGTGGCGTAGGGTATCATAAAGTCGGCCCCGCCCGAGACTTTCTTTACTGGTTTTATTATTATAATTTACTTTTGATTTTTGACGACAGGTGGATATAAGCAAGTCTAATATGGAAATGTACCTTTTCTAAAAACAATGCACACGTTTTAAGCCCCTACGTTAAACAACTGTGCAAACAACATGTTGTTTACTTCAAACAGTTATAAAATACATACGTCAATCTGTCTCAGTTCCGATTTCAATATTTCATATAATAAATATTAAAATAACCAATGACGAAATTACAAATTTCGGATGTGACTCTAGACAATTCGTATAAAGCAGAGATGTTTATGTAAAAAATTATGTGTAGTCCACTACACTTTTAGTAATCAAATTTGTCTCTTTCAACACTACTCGTAGTGGTAACAACATACCCTCTGCATTACCAGTAAGCTAAAAATAAGAAAATAAGTAAGCAAAAAAAAAAACGGAGAATTTGCAGACGGACATCTAAAAAAGCTGTATGACCAGAATAACCAACTAAATGAGAGAGTATGTAAGTAGTTTCACTGTAAATCATAAGATTGGGAGTTCAAACCCAATCTGCGAACAGAGTAAAAAAATGGACTGTAGCGTCCATTTCATATACATATATGAAATAGTAGAGGGGTGAGTGACTTACAGACTGACTATGTGGCTGTGTAAAGGTGAGATATGGCTTGGATTTTTGAGATTTAAAGTAGAAGGGTATTAAATGTACTAAAAGGTACTTAAAATTGAATCAATTGTGATTGTCAAACGGATAGAGTTAGAATTCTGAAATTTGGAATGAGGGTCGCTGATGGGGTGCAGGATAGTTGTACCTAAGGTACTAAAATACCAAATTTGGTACTATTTGGTATTATGTGAACAGAAAGATGTAAATGTCTTGCCCAATATGCTTAAGAATAAAGTAAGGTCTGTTACTGTAAGAACTGTACTAAAAAGTACTTCATTTCGTACAATTTGGTTTTGGATAAACGGAAGGAGCAGGAAATTAGTTATGATAGTATTGAAGTTATACTGATGTGTAGCGCTGACAAAAAAAGGTAGTTTTGTGTTACTAATTTTGGTTTTTGGAAAAGCATAGGGTTGGAAATTAAAATTTGGCATACGATCACATTTTTTGCAGTGGGGTTTATAAATTGAGTTGGATTTGGAAGGATGTACGAAAAAAGTACGAAAAGTAGTGAATGGTAATAAATGTGAGTATTTTGGGAAAGGATGGTCTTGGAGAGCGGGAAAAGGGGTTTGGATAAAGATAGAATGTTCAAATATTGTAAAAAAAGAGGTCATTCGTACAATAAGTGAATGTGTACAGGAAGTATAAGAAAAGTATAAATTAAATTAAATAATTATATAAATTTAGTCTATAATGTAGGAAAAGAACTGGTATTATGAATTTGATATAGGGATAGCTGTGAAAGCGAAGCGTTTAGATAAAAAGTCGAAAGCCAATAAAAGCTAATCCTATGATTGTGTATGCACAACCTTGGTTACTAAAACCAGTAAAGAATGGTCAAAAGTCGGGCGGAGCCGAATTTATAATAATCTACACATTTATGTATATTTAGTAGAGCTACCCGCAACAAATAAAATTTTATATAGAGAGTTAATATGAAATAAATAATACCAACTATCATCGTTTTTAAATGCCTTTTAACGCTTTAGAGCACTTATAATTTGAAATTGAATGGATGGATAAATGTCTATCTATCTGCAACAATTTTCACTAAATTTGTAGAGCACACTTGTGTCTGAACCGATGTTTACCAATATCCAAAATGTTTGAGCCGATATTACAGTAGATGTAAAATGGGAGCTATATGCAAATCTGAACTGATCTCACTAAAGTTTAATAGAGGTATTTCTATGCTGTATGCCATAGCTGGTACCAAATATTGTCATTGTGGAGTGCATTTTACGGGTGTGAGGGTAGTAAATACAAAATCGGGTGAAACATATGTATGGGGGCTACAGCTAAATCTGAAGCGATTTTCACCAAACTTGAAATACTAGTTTCAAGGCTGCATAAGATCTGACGTGTCGAAGTTCATCCTATTTGAAGAAAATATTGGGCATCCAGAAAAAACATTATTCGTGATGGAATTCAAGCGTGATGATGTGATTTCTCTATATTTGGTTGGAAAACCACAAGTGACTATCGTTAGAGCACTCCAGCATTTAAATGTGAATAAATCGTACCATCGCTCGTTACCGTGATACTAGTAGCGCAGTCCGACGTCAAGGAAGTGGACGAAAAAAAATAGCCACATCAGAAAAAATGGTTCGAAAATTAAACAAGCGACTTGATCGAAACCCGCATCGCAGTGGCCGAAAATGGCTCGTGAGCTGAACACATCGCAATCTCCCATTCGGCAAATATTGAAAAATAAGCTCGGGGTAAAGCCATTGCAATTCCAAAAAGTGCAAGTGCAACATACACCGCAACAGAAAGAAAATAGACTCAAAAGAGATAAAGAGCTGCTTCGCTTGGCCGAATGTGGTGATCTGCCGGCCATAGTGATGGTGTGGGCCACCACCGTTCGTATTAATGGACCGTGGCATCAGAATGAATGCCGAATAGTAAACAAGCGACTTGATCGAAACCCGCATCGCAGTGGCCGAAAAATGACTCGTGAGCTGAACATATCGCAATCTTCCATCCGGCAAATATTATTAATGAGCTCGGGGAAAAGCCATTATAATTCCAAAAAGTGCAAGAACTTACGAACTTACAAGAACTTACTTAAGAGATAAAGAGTTACTTCGCTTGGCCGAATGTGGTGATCTGCCGGCCATGGTGATGGTGTGGGCCACCATAACAGCCGATGGTCGCTCTCCGCTTGTATTAATGGACCGTGGCATCAGAATATTCTGGAGGGTTTATTAAAGCCTTGGGCACGCAACCATTTTGGCCGCAGACCTTGGACATTCCAACAGGACTCACCACCATCACACTCAGTACGAGCCACCCAAGAATGGTTACAAAATGAGGTTCCTCGCTTCATTTCCAGCGCACAATGATCACCAAAATCTACGAATACCAATCCGTTGGGCTATTATGTCTGGAGTATTTTGGAAAGCAGGGTTGGCACTAAAAAATACCAAGGTGTCGCTCACCTCAAGCAAGGGACCAAAATACCGCAGAGCAATATTCCGACAGCGTGTGACGGTTCCATTAGCCGTTTGAAGGCCATAATTCGTCCCAAATGTGACCAATTCGAACAAATCTAAACTTATTGTAAAATTTGATACTATTTCCGACATTTTTAGCTTTCATTCAATACAATTTAAGAAAATGTAAAAATTATGGCGTTTGACTTTGTTGCCCATTTTCAATGCCAACAGTCTTGCGGACCAACATACACATTTCAGTAAAATTTTATCAACCTACTTCAGTTCGTTTGGAAGCTACAGTGATTTATACAGGCGGATAGACTGACACTCCATACTATGATGGAGGGTATAAAAAAATATTGATCGACGCGTCATTCAAAGCCTTGAGCCAGATATCCAAAATCTAGCTTAAACCGGTGCATATCTAGAAATATTAAACACATTTCCCATCAAAACACTTTCATTATATTAGCTTACATAGAATAAATAACAGATTACAATCAATTATCAGCATAACTCCCTTTTCTTATTATTGTTTCAATGCCTTTCGTATAATGCCTTGGACAGATCGTATAGAGGTATATATTCCAGGGAAATTGGAACGTGCACAGCCATAACCGAAGGAGACAACGCCACATAGTCTACCATTGCAGACAGCTGGTCCGCCAGAATCACCAGTACATGCATCCTTTCCGGGAGCCGCTGCACAGAACATTGTTGGCGTCAGGGTCAAAAGTTGGCGATAATTTGCAGCACATCTTGCTTTGCTTATAATTGGAACGGTCACCGTTCTTACTTGGGCAGATACACGATTTGAGTTCTCTTTTGTGAGGCCCCATCCAGAAACTCTTATCGACATATTTCTTGACAATTTGGCGGTATTCAAAGCAATGGGTCTAGTATTGGAACCCCTCATGGGTGAGGCCAGCTTCAGAACGGCTACATCTCGACTCAGGTTTTTCATTGTAAAGGATGATGGGCGAATTACTTTCCTCACGGCACGTCTTACACCCCTTTGCGATAGACGTGTTGCACCACCAACCACTGTCAATTGACCGGGCCGAATACCAATGACACAATGGGCCGCCGTCACTACAAATCGTGGTGCCACCAGAGTTCCACCACAAATAAATTGTCCTTGTTGCCTTAGTTGTACCAAATAGGGAACATTGTTAATTGTTGTTTTAGTACCGCCCACAATGCGTGCCAAGCTTTGGGTCGACTGACTGCTGGCTGGCGATAGTAGTAACAGTAAACACGTTGTTAGATAAACAATACCGTTAAATATCGTCATGATGCGATTTCCGTTTGACTAGTTTATATTAAAATTCTAAAAGAATTTGAAGTTTTCTAATCGCAAGAATGTTGCTTATAAAGGTGACATGTTTTCGTTTTATTAAAACGTAACCTTGAATTGAAGCAAGCTTTATTTCCTCGAGAATTCGCGGTATATTAGGGTGTACTGCAAAAATTAAAAAAAAAAAATTGAGAAAATTTGAGATAGAAGGCTAAAATTTTGCACACATGTTTACTTTTCCAGTAGGCAGGTTAGTTCGTAAATGGGCCATGTAGGTCCACGTTTTCGTATAGCCCCCATATAACGGTACCAGCCAATATTCGGTATTTTGATGATTTTAGCGACACTATACACCGGAATGGTTTCAAATTTGATATTTGAATTTCAAAATACAGCCTAAGACAGAAAATTGTCTGTGCAAGTCCACGTCTTCGTATAGCCCCCATATAACGGTACCTCCCGATATTCGGTATTTTTATGATTTAAGCGACACTATTCACCGGAATTGTTTCAAATTTGTTATTTGAAGTTCGAAATGGATACTACAGCCTAAGACAGAAAATTGTCTGTGCAAGTCCACGTCTTCATATAGTCCCCATATAACGATATCTCCCCATATTCGGTATTTTGATGATTTTAGCGACATTATTCTCCGGAATTGTTTCAAATTTGGTATTTGAAGTTCGAAATGGATACTACACCCAAAGACAGAAAATTGTCTGTGCAGGTCCACGTCTTCGTATAGCCCCCATATAACGGTACCTCCCTATATTCGGTATTCTGATGATTTTAGCGACATTATTAACCGGAATTGTTTAAAATTTGGTATTTGAAGTTCGTAATGGATACTACAGCCTATGTCAGAAAATTGTCTGTGCAGGTCCACGTCTTCGTATAGCCCCCATATAACGGTACCTCCCAATATTCGGTGTTTTGATGATTTTAGCGTCATTATTAACCAGAATTGTTTCAAATGTATGTATTTGGAGTTCGTTCTGAGGCTTCAGTCTGTGATAGAAAATTGTCTATGCAGGTCCAGGTCTTCGTATAGGCCCCATATATCAGTACCTCCCTATATTCGGTATTTTGACGATTTTAGGTACAATACCCACCGAAATTGTTTGAGATGTGGTATTTGAAGTTCGTATTGGATGCTACAACCTGTGACAGAAAATTGTCTATGGAGGTGCAGGTCTTCCAACAGCTCCGATATAACGATATTTTGATGATTTTAGCTACATTATTCACTGTTTATTTCAAGTTTCGAATTTGAATATGGTAATGGCTTATGACAAACAATGCCCATGTAGGTCCACGTCGTATAGATACCAATATAACGGCTATATTTGGTATTTTTAAAATTTTAACAGAATTTTTTAAAAATTTTCAAATTCGTTCCAAAGTTCGGCCCGGTCGAACTTACTGCTTTTTAACATGTTTTTCGTTTATAAAGAATTTTTACATGTGTTTTCATACATTAACAAACTCATTATTTGTTTAAAAATTTCGAATATAATTTTTTATAATTTTTTTATTTTTTTTTTTTTTTTAAATTTCTAATCAATCTTATCATATTTAAGGATATAATGTCAATTTAGTTCCGATTTTCTCCTTGATTTTCGAATTTCTTTATGTCTTGGTCAAAACCTTGTAAAATACAATATATTAGGATATATCATTAAAAATAATTGGATTTTTAATGTTTTTGTGGAAATCATATTAAAAAAATTGTTCTCAAATTACCACACCAATCTAATGTCGCACTTGAACGACACCAATCTAATGTCGCACAGCCATATGTTTATGTCTCACTTGTTTTTCAGCCTCACCACAGTTGTTCAAATATTTATTTAACATTTCAACTTTTGAAAGAATGATTATGAAATTTAATTGCGAACTTAAAGGTTAAGTTTGAAGCCACGCATATCATAACCTTCTGCAAAACCTAGCATAATTTGTCACAGAGTTTATTCACTTTTTAAATATCGTGAGAAAATAACGTCGAGATATCTAGATGATGGAATTTTTTTATCCGCCCCCACGTACATTATATGAAGTGTATATTAAGTTTGTCATTCCGTTTGTAATTAATCGAATAATAATCTTTTAGGTCCAACAACGTATATATTCTTGATCAGCGTAACATTCTAAGTCGATTTAGCCATGTCCGTCCGTCCGTCATCTGTTGTAATCACACAAGAGTCCAAACGGCATATGATAAGAAAATACAAATTTGCATGGAGTTATGTTTTGACAAGTTCAGCCAAGTCAAATTAAGCTATCTCGGTCAACATTTTCATATAGCCCCCATATAATTGTACCTTTCGATATTCGGAATTTGACGATTTTAGCCACACTTTTCAATGTTATAGTTTAAAATTCTGTAGAATTTTATTGGGATCTAATTTCTGTGGCAGAATTTTGTTTTTAAAGATCCACTTTTTTCACATAGTCCTCACATAATTGTACCTCCCGATATTCGGAATTTTTACGATTTTAGCCACATCTTTAAACGAACTCATTTAGAATTTGTATTGGAATCCACCTCCCTTGGCAAAATATTGTCCACATAGATTCAGGTTTTCCTACAGGGTGATATGAAAAAATTGCAACCAACTTCAGATTGCTGTCACTTATAAGCCACTCATCCGACAGCTGTTATAATTCTAACAGTGACAGCTCATGATATCGTTTACAAGCGTACTGAAGCATTTTGGTGATAATTTTCCAGAAAAAAAGTTATTCGTGATGGAATTCAAGCGTGATAGTGCGATTTCTTTATTTTTGGCTGGAAACTACAAGTGGCTATCGTTAGAGCACTCCAGTATTTAAATGTGAATAAATCTTTTGTGCCTCGTAGCATCGCTCATTACCGTGATACTGGTAACGTAGCCCTACGTCAAGGAAGTGGACGGAAGGAAACAGCTACATCAGCAGAAATGGTTCGAAAAGTAAAGAAGCTACTTGATCGAAGCCCGCGTCGCAATGGTCGAAAAATGGCTCGTGAGCTGAACCTGTCGAAATATCCCATTCGGCAAATATTGAAAAATGATCTCGGGGTAAATCCATTGCAATTCCAAAAAGTGCAAGAAGTTACACCGCTACAGAAAGAAAATATACTCAAGAGAACTAAAGATTTGCTTCGCTTGGCCGAAAGTGGTGAATTGCCGAATTTTGTTTTCTCCGATGAGAAAACATTCGTTGTCCAGCAGTTTGTAAAAAAAAAAAAAAAAAAACAAAATAATCGTGTTTATTTGCCAAGGAGGTCAGCTGAAAATATGTACCTTCGGTTGGCCACCAGAACTCAAGCGCCAGCTATGGTGATGGTGTGGGCCCCCATAATAGCCGATGGTCGCTCTCTGCTCGTATTAATCGACCGTGGCATCAAAATAAATGACGAATATTATGGCGAAAATATTCTGGAGGGTGTATTAAAGCCTTGCACACGCAAACAAGGTCGCAAACCTAGGACATGACCAACAGGACTCAGCACCATCGCACTCAGCACGCGCCACCCAAGAATGGTTACAAAATGAAGTTTCATTTCCAGCGCACAATGGCCACCAATATCTCCGGATACCAATCCGTTGGACTATTGTGTCTGGAGTATTTTGGAAAGCAAGGTTGGCACGATCACCTCAAGCAATCGCTTCGCCGGAAATGAACCAAAATACCGCAGAGCAAAATTCAGGCAGCTTGTGACGGTTTCATTGGCCGTTTGAAGGCCATAACACGTGCCAAATTTGACCAATTTGAACAAATATAAACTAATTCTAAAATTTGATGCTATTTCCGACCTTTTTGCTTTCATTTAAAAAATTTTTAAAAAAAAAGTTGTAAAAATTATGGCGTTTGAATTTGTTGTAGTTTTTTTACCCTGTAAAGGTATCGCGCAATATTCGATATTTTGACGATTTTAGCTGTCTATCGAAAAAGTTTTAAATTCTGTATTTAGAGTTCATAATATATTCTACATTCTGTGTGCCTAGATAGCTTCACGGTTTCCTATACGGCCCATATAATTGTACCTTCCCATATTCGGTATTTTGATGATTTTGTGCTCAGTTTCTAGCAGAAAAGCTCAAAACTCGATTTTTAGGGTTCATATTGAATGTTGTATTACTGTATATATAGGTTCACGTTTTCCTATAGCTCCCATAAAAAGGCTCTTCCCGATATTCCGTATTCGATTATTTAAGCCATATTTTCTAACGGAATTACTTAAAATTCAGTTTGTGGATTTCGTAACGTTTTTTTTTTTTTTGTTATATAGCCCCTGTCCTCCCGATATTCAGTATTTTGATGAATGAAGCCAACTTTTGTACAGAATTGTTTGAAATTTGGATTGGATATTCACATATTTTTAAATGAGTTACTTTCCTAATTATGGAGGGTATAAAAAGTTCGGCGTGGCCGAACATAACTGCTTCTTTGTTTTTGTGTTTTTATTAAAATAAGCGTGAACATATGTTAATCTAAGATTATTTAGCTTAGGAAAAGTGTGTGAAAAATAACATTGTTTCGAAAAAAAAAAAAAAAAAAAACATTGTGTATCAGCAATACGAACATATGGAAATTTTCCAATATTTTTCCATACCTCGTAGAATTTAAATAACAACTATTTGTCTTAACATAAGTATTAATTTATATTAAATTATTCGCAGCCCGACCGTAGTCCAAGGTGATTTCGGAATTTATACACGCATTTGAGATCGGATAGAACGGAAATTTGTTGAGAGTTATGTCTGCAGTGCATGGTAATAACTCCAAAAATTTGCGGTTGTTTTTGTTCGGGAATTTAAGTGTCAAAGTTTCGGTAACAGTTTCACTCTAAAAATATAAAATTACACTTACACATCTCATCTTTAAACCAAATCTAATGTTGCTACAAAGATTGCAAATTGTGAATTTCAAAGAGTACTGGGAAATGGGTCCGCCATCCAAACTTTTTATACCCTACAACACTATGTGTTGGGGGTATTATAAAATTGATTGGGTCAAAAATTATATAACACCTCGAAATATTGGTTTCCCATATAGGAAAGTATATATGGATCTTCCTATCTCGCCGAGCTCAGTAGATCTAGCTATGTATGTCCGTCCGTCCGTCTGTCCGTCTGTCCATGTTAATTTGTAATCACTCTACTGGTCGCAATTATGGCCCAATCCTCACGAAATTGAAAACGGAGGTGGGGTTAGGGCCAGAATAGAACCCTATTCTTTTTGGAGATGATCGCATAATATTTAGGGGTTGAAATGGACCAAAAACTGAAAAATTTCCTTTATACATGTCACAATTATAGACCAATCGAAGCGGGAGTTAGCACGGTGCTAGGTCTTGGGGCTGGGCAGAAGCCTTCCAATTTTGATCGTCATCGGGTAATAGTTAGTAGGTGAAATTGACCATAGCATTTGTGTGAAATAAAAGTCAAATTTCCTTCCACAAAACCGCGAATATGGTCAATTTTGACTATTTTGTAGATGTCAATAGTAAATATATCGGATATATATAGCGAAATATATACAATATGTATATGCAAAAGGAGGAGATGTTAGCTAGAATGTTTATATCTCAAGAATGGCTGGACCGTTTTGGACAAATGTTGTGATTTCAGAATGCCCTCTTGGCATAAAAGTATAAAATCTAAAAAACCGCATAAAGAGATGCTAACAATGATGTTAATATAGATTTTGTAGTATTTTATGACATATTTTTATTTTTTTATATTTTTTTATCGTATGCGATTTTAGGGTATGGGTAGGGTTGGGCTCAGAAGGGCTAGGTCTATTGTTTTCAAATATGTCCGCAATATATTTAGGAGTTGAAATGGACCTACAACTAAAAATGTTTCTGATTTTGCAGCCGTTATAAAGGATATAAATAGGACACGAAATCTCGCATGAAGTTAGTGTTTAGGACAGCGGGTAGAATGAACCACTATTTTTGTCTGAAAAATACCAACATTACTTACAGGCGATATCCGAAATACACAAAGGCGAAGTGTTGTTTTTTTTATGCTGATTTCGTTGATGAATATAGCCAAATATTGTAGACAAGCAAATCATATAGATGTGTCTAAATTTGTAGATGCAGAGCGGCTTCTTGCTTTTGAAAATGATCGCAAAATATTAAGGGGCTCAAATGAACCAAAAACAGAAAAAAATTCCTGATCACACAATTGAAGCCAATAGACATGCCTGAGAAGAGAGTTAAGAATTCTAGCTTTTTGGATGACCATTGGATTATATTTAGCTGTAAAATGGACCACAACAACTAACAGCACAGCGAAATGTGCAAATGTCCCTGGTCGAAATGGTAAGGGCAATATCTGGGCAGTGCTCCTTGGAAAATTTCAAAAGCGAAAACTTCCAAAATGGACTTGGACATAAGAGTGCTTCTGACGTATTGTAGTGTTGCAGGGTATCACATGGTCGGCCCCGCACGACTATAGCCTTTGCTTATTTGTTTTTTTTTTTTTTTTTTTTTTTTGGTTTTTGTTGTTCTTTTTACATTACATACCTAATAGGAAGTACCATTAGAGTCCACTGTAAATTGTGGACTTCACAAAATGTTTGTAGGAAGAGATTCTCAAGATATCTATAATATGGAAGTGCCGTTTTATATGGTCAATATATAATAGGGGATTTGTTTTCAAAAAAAACTTAGAAGGGTGCGATTTTGTCCGCTAAGCACTTAAAATATTAAATTTCTCATGATTGGGATTGAAATTGTGGTCGAAACCTTCAAAACACCAAAAATTGGTAATATGGGGCCCACACCAACTACTGAAGCAATCTTGAAAAGTTTATTCATTGGAGATTATACTTATTCAGAACTATAAACGCAAATTTATTTGATTTAAAATTGGTCAAAACATTCAAAATACAGAAAATCAGCAAGTAACGCTATATGGTGACCTTACCGAAACGTAAACCGATATTTCCCATTTTAATACCACACATACTAGGGGTAACATAAATGTCTTAGCAACATTTCAAACCGATAGAATGCTTCCCTTAATTAATCTCCGCTTTTGAGAATCTCACCCCACTGTGCGTCGGTTTTACTTGTTCGAAGTAAATAAATAAGTGGCTCTTGATAGCATATTTATGCTACTACAATGTAGCTATTAAATTCATTATTCGATAATCAGATCTTTGCTAGGTATAAACACAGATACATATTTCAGTTTTGGCTATTTTTATCTTACTTTTGGTATGCTTTTCAAACATATTTTAAAAATTGAGTTGTATTGCATAGAATTTTTATTAGTACTTAACATAATACCGTTGGAATTATTTTTAAATTCTTTTGAAAACTTATTAGGCCAACTGTTTTCGAACAAAAGAAAATTTAATAAAAACTCTGAACATTATGAATACCAAACAAATAAATAGCTATATTTGCTGCTGGCAACCGGCATTGAAATCGAAAGTAACCTCCGAAAATATTTATTGCATAAAATTTATTTGATAGAAAATCTTCCAACCGAACAATGTCTCTTCGCAGACGCACTTATTTTGTGGCCCTGCTGTTTTCTGTTCACTTTCTTGGCTCAGCCACAAAAGTAGAGGCGGAACCGGTGGAAAAATCAAATCGAATTGTTGGTGGCGTCAAATCGTTCATCCGAAATGTTCCCTATCTGATGCAGGTGTGGTCCAATGGCTATTTCATTTGTGGCGGTTCATTGGTCTCCCCGAAATTTGTGGTTTCTGCAGCTCATTGTGCCGTCAATACCAGACCCAGACAGCTGACAATTGTTGGTGGTGCCAGCAATCTCAATGAACCTGGTGTAATACGTAAAGTAAGGAAAATAATTCGTCCGAAAAAATTTTCATTGAACACCATGAATCGAGATGTAGTAGTCTTTAAGCTGGCCAAACCCATGAAGGGACCTAAAATTAAACCAATTCCCTTGAATACGGAACCCATAAGGGTTGGCATGAAAATGAAAGTGTCCGGTTGGGGTTTGAAAAGAGAAAATGGTAAAAGTGTTGCCACGCATGTTCGCCGTGTTGTTGTTCCGGTCATTGCCAAGGCGACATGTGAAGCTCAATATCAAGATGTTCTACCGCTGAGCAATACAATGTTCTGTGCATCACAACCGGGGAAAAAAGATTCGTGTTCCGGTGACTCGGGTGGACCTGCTGTCTGTAATGGTAAACTTTGTGGCATTGTATCGTTCGGTGTGGGCTGTGCAAGACCTAATTATCCTGGTGTTTATACTGGAATTCGTGCCGTGCGCAGTTTTATTAGAAGAGCTATGAAGCAATAGAAAAGTAAAGTTATAAATAAATTATTTGCAGTGAAAAAAAAATTATTATGATTATACCCTACAACACTATGTGTTGGGGGTATTATAAGTTTGATTGGGCCAAAAATTATGTAACACCACGAAATATTGATTTCCCACATAGGAAAGTATATATGGATCTTCCTATCTCGCCGAGCTGAGTCGATCTAGCTATGTATGTCCGTCCGTCCGTCTGTCCGTCTGTCCGTCTGTCCGTCTGTCCATGTTAATTTGTAATCACTCTACAGGTCGCAATTATGGCCCGATCTTCACGAAATTTAGAATGTAGGTGGGGCTTGGACCAGAATAGAACCCTATTGCTTTTGGAGATGATCGCCAAATGTTTAGGGGTTTAAATGGACCAAATACTGAAAAAATGTCGGATTTTGCAGTAGCTATACAGGTCGCAATTATAGACCAATCGACGCGGAACTTTGCATGTAGCTACAGTTTAGGGCGGGGAAGAAGCCTACCAATTTGGGTGGTCATCGGATTATATTTAGCGGGTAAAATAGACCATATATTTTGTATTGAAAAAAATCGAAATTTTTCATTAAACTGCGAATATTTTAAATCCCGGCGAAATCACAAAGCCATTACAGGGTTACTTCTGATCTTTACATTGATGTTAACATCCAACAAATCGGATATATAGCAAAATATGTGCGATATACATGTCGATCAAAGAAGATATGCTTGAAAGATCTCTTTTATGTCGAGAACGCCTGAACTGATTTCGACAGTTCTCATTAATTCAGAATGGACTCTTGGTAGAAAAGAAAAAACGCCTAAAAAATCGCATAAAAATATCTCTCTAAAGATGAAAATATTGATTTTGTAAATTTTCTCATATTTTTCAATTTTGTCATATTTTTGGCATATTTTCATTTTGAATTAAACATTTGGTAATAATATGTAAAATAATAAACACAACTAAGTAGTTAGGATATCAGGATATCATATACAGAGCGCATTTATGTACCGATCCTTACGAAATTTTGCATGGGGATAAGATGAGGGTCAGAATAGAAGCCTACTCTTTTTGGAGATGATCGTCATATATTTGGGGGTTGAAATGGTCCAAAAAACTGCAAAATTGTCAGCAGGTCGTAATTATCGCCCGGTCCTCACGCACATTTGAATGGGGGTTACCGGACATTGCAAAAGCCAAGCAGTTTTGGATGGCAAAATAGACAAAATACGAAAATGTTCATTCCAGTGACTTTTTGGAGAATTCACAAATACAGGAAAGACGCACTTCTGACTATTTCGTTAATGCTGATTTCGTTGAAGAATATAGTCAAATGTCTGTATCTCATATAGATGCGTTTCATTCAAAAACCAATAATAACTGTTAATCTTTTTCCACTTCTGAGAGATTATAGGTCTTTGGGAAATATTGGTTCCAGATCTAGGAAGATCATTTAAGAGCAACATCTACCAATAAATTGGAAATGAGCAAATTAGTTTAAGTTGCTATTATTCGAAAATTAGAGAACGAAACCTGATGGTTTTCTTTTATAATTTGTCACAATATCTTGTGGAATTCTTTCGAGTATCTCGCCTATATAAACTGTATCGTTTAATATAGTGTTGTAGGGTATTCAATGGTCGGCCCCGCTCGACTGTAGCCTTTGCTTACTTGTTTTTATTTTGTTTTTGTTACGACCTGTTCCACATATCTGTAGTCTATAAATGGTACGAAAGTAAATAGCACGTGATAAATTTTAAATGTATACTGGGACATATAGTACATACATACGATATTTTGACTTGGTACGATCCCGTTTAAAGGGATTTTTAATAGTTTTTCACAAAAGAAGACCCCTTTTTTGACTAACTTTAGGGTTATAAATTTCTCCCGAAATAAGGCTCTTTTTGTCTGTAACTTTGCCAAAGACACTGCATACCTAAAATCAACGAAATCCAAGAAATCTTAATTCAAAAAATGTGAAAGTAGGGGGAACTTGACCCTCTACTTTGGTTACTTTGTGATGTGGTGTCCGTTGGAATTGCAATTTTTAAGTTTCAAAGACGCAAAGTTGTATTTAATTGTGACAGTTTTTTTGAAACTGGAAAAATTGGCGAATATATTCAAACAAAGATTTTTTCGAAAAAAAATCTAGGAGAATTGCAAGTTTAAAATTTTGAAAAAATAAGGTTGTTCTTGGTTTGCACTCTTTTGTGTTGTTAAATTTTTTTTTCAATATTTCTTACCATTTCCGAAAAAAAATCATATTTTCGAAAGTAGGCCAGAATTCCAATATTCAAATTTTGAAAAAACGAAAGTTGTGTTCATATGTGCCGATTTTTTTCGAAATTCGAAATCCAGCAAATGTTTTAATTTTTTTTCGAAAAAATGTAAGGAGTTGCACATTTTTAACTTAAAGAAAATAAAAGCTGTGCTGAATTGTGCTTGTTTGGTGTTCGTTTGTGCTGTCAACACTTTTGCTATATCTATTACAATTTCTAAAACAAAACAAATATTTTCGAAAGTATACCAGAACTCCAATTTTCGAATTTCAAAAAAAGGAAAGTTTTGCTCTTTTGTGAGGATTTTTTGTATCTTTCGAGTTTTGAAAAAAATTGATTTGTGCTCATTTATGCCGTTAACATTAACGTTGATATTTCTGACCATTTCTGAAAAAAAACGATATTTTCGAAAGTACGACAGAATTGCATTTTTTCTTGAAATTCGGAAAACTGGCAAAGATATTTACAAAATCCAAAAAATTGTGAGATAATTGCAAATTAAAAAAAAAAATAAAAGTTGTGGTGAATTGTGCTAGGTTTGTGCCGTTAATCCTTTTCTGATACCATTTCCAAAAAAAGTCGAAAGTATGCCAGACTTGGAATTTTCGAATTTCGTAAAAAATTATAGATTGTCCTGAGTTGTGGTAAATAGTGCCATTTAATTTCTTTCAATATCTCGAACAGTTTTTGTGGGGGAGGACCGATATATTCCAGGAGTGGACCGTTATACAGGGTGAGATGAAAATATTGCAACCAATTTCACACTGCTGTCATTATTAAGCCACTAGTCCGACAGCTATTAAAATTATTCCAATGACAGCTCATTATATTGTTTACAAGTGTACAAGGCATTTTGGTGAGAATTTTCCAGAAAAAAGTTATTCGTTATGGAGTTCAAGCGTGATAGAGTGATTTCTTTATATTAGGCTGGAAAACAACAAGTGGCTATCGTTAGAGCACTCCAGCATTTAAATGTGAGTAAATCTTTTGTGTCTCGTACCATCGCTCGTTACCGTGATACTGGTAGCGTAGCCCGACGTCAAGGAAGTGAACGGATGAAAACAGCAACATCAGCATCGAAACTCGCATCGCAATGGTCGAAAAATGACTCGTGATCTGAACATATTGCCATATTCCATTCGGCAAATATTAAAATATGAGCTCGGGGTAAAGCTATTGAAATTCCAAAAATGGAAGATTTTACATTGCAGAAGAAAATAAATAGACTCAAAAGAGCTAAAGAGTTTCTTGGCTTGGCCGAAAGTGGTGAACTGCCGAATTTTCTTTTGGCCACCAGAACTCAAGCGCCGGCCGCGGCGATGGTGTGGGCCGCCATACCTGCCGATGATTGCTCTCCGCTCGTATTAACCGACCGTGGTATCAGAATAAATGCCGAATATTATCAAAATATTCTGGAGGGTGTATTCAAGCCTTGGGTACGCAAACATTTTGGCCTCAAACCTTGAACATTCCAACAGGACTCAGCACCATCGCACTAAGCACGCGCCACCCAAGAATGGTTGCAAAATGAGGTTCCTCGTTTCATTTCCAGCGCACAATGGCCACCAAAATCTCCGGATACCAATCCGTTGGACTATTGTGTCTGGAGTATTTTGGAAAGCAAGGATGGCACTAACAAATACCAAGCGCTTCGTCGGGAATGGGCCAAAATACCGCAGAGCAACATTCGGACAGCGTGTGACGGTTTCATTGGCCGTTTGAAGGCCATAATTCGTGCCAAAGGTGACCAATTCTAAAATTTGATGTTATTTAAGACATTTCGGCTTTCGTTCAATAAATTTAAAAAGTAAAAATTATGGCGTTTGACTTTGTTGCAGATTTTTTATTTCACCTTGTAATTATTCAAAATTTTGACCCTTTGTGGGGGAGGTACCAGATTTAGTGGACTGACATATTCGATCTTCACATCAGACCTTGCGTTAATAAAAATACTGTGATGTGCGAAAATTGAAGAGAATCGGATGCTTACTTCGCATTTTTTAAGAGTTATATTTATTCAAAATTTTTACCCTTTGTGTTGAGCACCTTACCTAGCATTGATGCAAATATTAAGATTTGCGAAGTTGGAGCCAAATCGGATTATTTTTTTTTCTTTCTGGGCAGTAAATTATTTTCTTTCTTGGATTTGGTCTAAAGAGATCTAGGGTCTGAAACCGTTTTTTTTTTTTTTTCGATTAGACACTTTTTGGCAGTTTCAAATTAGATACGACCTCTGTAGTCTTATGGGAGAAGGAATAAATAAACGGCACCACTCAGCAGTACTTTTGTTTTTTATACCCTACACCACAAGGTGGTCAGGGTATTATGTCTTTGTGCATTTGTTTGTAACAGGCAAAAGGAAATGAGATAGACCCATAGTTCCTTTTGATGATCTGCATAGAATCACATTCTGAGTCGATTTATGAATGTCCGTCCGTCCGTCCGTCTGTCCATGTATTTTTGTAAACAAAGTACAGTTCGCATTTATTGCCCTATCCAGATTAAATTTTGCACAAGTCATTTGTTTGGTCCAAGGACGAACCCTATTGAAATTGGAGATAATCGGTCAAAATTTAGATATAGCTCCCATATATAACTTGGTCCGATTTACCTTTGATTGTGCATCAAACTTCTTTGCCCAAATGGGATGACATACGACCGAATTGAGTCTAGAAGCTAGTATGTCAAATTTGGTGCAGATCGGTTCAGATATAGCTATAGCTCCCATATATACTGTTCATCCGATTTGTTATATTTGTTAACCACAGCCGTAATATGCACTCCATAACAACGATATTCAGGGAAATATATCAAATACAGCTCAGAAATATCTTTGCCAAATTTTATCGAGATCGGTTCCGATTTTTATCCGATTTCAAATTAATTGTGCACCAAATGGGCAATACAAGTCCGAATTTAAAATATACAAATGCTTCGGCATATTTAGTCCTTTGAACTTTAAATTATAATTATAATCATAGCGTGTATGACTGAATTCTCCCATAAAAACGTTTTGTAGATATGCGGAGCTCTACTAAATTAGCAAAGTAGTGTAGGGTATCATAAAGTCGGCCCCGCCCGACTTTAAGACTTTCTTTACTGGTTTTTTTTTTAATTCGAACATTTCTTTAATTTTTTTCTTATTTCCAAAATCGGCACAATTGAGCAAACAAATCTAGCATTACTTTCCGAAATTCGTAAATTGCAATTCCAAATGACATCATATTACTTTGTGTTTTAAACTTTCGAAATTCCGATACACGTGGCTTCTACTTTTAGCTGTACTTTCATAAGCTGCTGGATTTTTTTGTAAAATATTTTTTGTATTGCACAGTGTTTTTATTTCTGTACACTAAAAATGTCGCAAGGTAGTATTTGTGGTTTAAATTAAAGAAAAAATACATAGACCACCTTTTTTTCTGAAATATTTTCTCAATTAATTTGTTTACTCCCTGAGACCAATAAATGTCAAATTTAAACCCATTCTTTGGAAAAAAAAATACACTTACCGATATTGCATCAAATTTTTTCTATTTTTGAATATTTTCAATTTTTTTAATTAGACATAATTTATTCAAAACACATTCTTCCTTTATTTTATTTCACGTCATTATTTATCTCTTAAGACACGCCTCTATAAAAGGCCTTACCTCTGAGATAGTGGTATAAACTCCCGGCAAACCTGGGCGAGCACAGCCGACACCAAACGAGACTATGCCACAAATTTTACCGTTACACATTACCGGACCACCAGAGTCACCAGAACAGGTATCTTTAGCTCCCGGAACACCGGCACAAAACATATTCTCCGTGAGATAAATATATCTCGAATATTGCCGCTGACATTGAGACTTTGAGATGACCGGAACTCGTGCGGAACGTATTTGATATGAAATATTTCCCATTTCACTTGTACGACCCCAACCGGCTATTTCCACCTGTTGACCCGCAAACAAATTACCCGAATATAACTCAGCTGTTTGGGTATTTCGCCCCTGTATCGAGGTGGCCAATTTAAGAACAGCAACATCTTTATCCATTGTGAACATGCTAAAGGAGGCTGGTTTCAAAATTTTCACCACTTTGTATTTTACAGCAGTATCTGCAAGGGTGGTGACCCCAGCCACGACAAACAAGTCCGCAGGCATTACATTATGAACACAATGAGCCGCCGTTAGTATAAAATTTCGGGTCAATAATGCTCCGCCGCAATTGAATTTCCCTTTGCTCCATATCTGGACCATATATGGAACTCGGTCAATGGTTGTAAGCTCACCACCCACAATGCGACTGCTTACATCGAAGGCTTTTGCTGTCGTAGACCGCTCCAGCAAACACAAAGCAATCACCAACCAAGCAACTGTTTGGAGTGACATCGTTTGTTAAAAACTGAAATTGAAATGGCATTGCTATTGTGGTTCGTCGCAGCTTTTTTAGGCTGATGTTATTTGTTTGTATATATTTGTTAAATTTTAAATATTTGTTTTGTTAATAATGTCTATTATTTTAATGCCTGTTTTCTTAGAAAAGGGAAAACCCAAAAACAATTGAACGCCAAAATTTAAATAAATATGATCTGGTCGGTTTCCCGTTTTTGGCTGCATAACATCCTCAGGAAGTAATAACTTTTATAACAACTTATGGCGTGTGGATTATCTTTCCTCCAAATATGACAATTTTGTCTGTTGACACATCCATTGAAGCAAAAATTCGTCTCATTACTGAAGAGAATTTTGCACCAAAAAACGGATCTTAGTCTATTGATTAAGAGATCAATTATTGAATTCTCAGCGAATACGAGGATAATGTAGATTTAATTCTTTCACCAATTCAATTTGGCATGGCAACAAACCCCAATTTTCCATAAAGTCGATGTATATAGTTCCACTTTTTGCGCACGACGGCAAATTGATAAATTGTGGACTTCTTCGGCACTGGCCTCACCGACAGCTATAATTCTTCTCTACGCACCCTTCTTATTCTTTAATGTAGACCAAAATTCGGTAATTACGATCTTTATGTTTTTATACCCTCAGCCATAGGTGAGGGTATTTCGATGAGGCACGTTTTGACCGTATCAAAATAATGTATAATACGGCCAAAACGTATTTCATCAAAATAACGGTTTTAGACCCTAGGTCTCGATGGACCAAACTCCTTTCAGGACATTTGGAGTTGATCTAGGGGTGTCCTTCAGTCCGCATATCTATCAGGCAACATCGCAATATTAGTGTCAAGTTTAGATCGAGTTTGTAAATGGGCAACATTGGCCACTCCTTTCGCACCTTCCCACAAAAGGTCAAAAATTCCACAGTAAATAATTTTTGTTAACAAAAGATCTGATGTGGAGAATGGAGTATCGGTATCCTTCTGGTACCACCCCCACAACTACTTAAAATTTTGAATAATTATACAGGGTGAAATGAGAAAACTGCAACTTCTGTCATTCCTAAGCCACTCGTCCGACAGCTGTTAAAATTTGTCCAGTGACAGCTCATAATATTGCTTATGAGCATTTTCCAGAAAAAAGTTATTCGTGATGGAGTTCAAGCGTGATAGTGTGATTTCTTTATATTTGGTTGGAAAACCATATGCGGTTATCGTTAGAGCACTCCAGCATTTAAATGTGAATAAATCTTTTGTGTCTCGTACCATCGCTCGTTACCGTGATATTGGGAGCGTAGCCCGACGTCAAGGAAGTGGACGGAAGAAAACAGCAACATCACCAGAAATAGTTCGAAAAGTAAAGAAGCCACTTGATCGAAGCCCGCGTCGCAAAGACTGGAAAATGGCTCGTGAGCTGAACTTATCGCAACATCCCATTCGGCAAATATTGAAAAATGATCTCGGGGTAAAGCCATTGAAATTCCAACAAGTACAAAAGCTGAAGATTTGGCCGCGTCGAACTTCGATTACTCTTTACCATTTGGAACGAATTTGGAAATTCTCAAAAACGATAAAATCCGTTAAAAATTCTGTTAATATCTTAAAAATACCGAATGTAGCTGTTATATTAAGGTCTATACGACGACATGGACCTGCATAGGTAAATTTTGTCATAAGCCATTACAATATTCAAATGCGAAACTTAACAAAAAAATCGGTGAATAATGCAGCTAAAATCATCAAAATACCAATTATCGGGAGGTACCGTTATATGGGGGATATACAAAGACGTGGACCTGCACAGACAATTTTCTGTCTTAGGCTGTAGAATCCATTACGAACTTCAAATACCAAATTTGAAACAATTCCGGTGAATAATGTCGCTAAAATCATCAAAATACCGAATATCGGGGGGTACCGTTATATTGGGGCTATACCAAACCGTGGACCTACATGGTCTATTTTCAATACCTGTCCTGCAGACATTTGAGTAAAATTTTATCAATCTACCTCCATCCTATGGTGTAGGGTATAAAAAGTGCAATAACGTAAACCGCAACAGAAAGAAAATAGACTCAAAGAGCTAAAGAATTGCTTCGATTGACCGAAAGTGATGAACTGCCGAATTTGTTTTTTCCCGATTAGAAAACATTCGTTGTCCAGCAGTTCGTAACCATGATCGTGTTTACTTGCCAGAGAGATCAGCTGAAACGTGCACCTTCGATTGGCCACCAGAACTCAAGCGCAGGCCATGGTGATGGTGTGGGCCGCTAAAACAGCCGATGGTCACTCTCCGCTCATATTAATCAACCGTGGCTTCAGAATAAATGCCGAATATTAGAAAATATTCTGGAGGGTGCATTAAAGCATTGGGCACGCAAACATTTTGCCCGCAGACCTTGGGCACTCCAACAAGACTTAGCACCATGACACTCAGCACGCGCCATCCAAGAATGGTTACAAAATGAGGTTTCTCGCTTCATTTCTAGCGCACAATGGCCACCAAAATCTCCGAATACCAATCCGTTGGACTATTGTGCCTGGAGTATTTTGGAAAGCAAGGTTGACACTAAAAAATACTAAAGTGTCGATCACCTCAACATATTGAATATCTATTACGCGAGTATTTTCTTGACGGCAAAAATTTACAGATAAAGGCTGCCTTTGTGGATTTTCAATCAAGTAGTATACACTCTTCGTCTACGTCTCGCCCATATAATTCTAAATTTTCTAGGTGGATCTAAGTTTAATAGAAATTTTTATACAAAATGGCAACATCAAATGATATATACACAAGGTAGCTCTAAAAGTACTTACTTACTTAAAAAAAATCATTATATAGAACCAGTTAAACTAAATTTTGTTGCGATGCTATCACATTACTATTACCATTATCCTCCATTTGCAAATGACCTTTTTGAATAAACTACAAAATATACTCGCATTAAACCCGCTATGCTTTTTTTTGCACAATCTCAGGACCAAACATATTTTTATTAGTTTAAACCATTTGCTGTTCTCGATTACACGCCCAAAGCTTAGATTCATAACATTTAAAGCATTGTCCTGCGACCTCCTCAAACAAACCCTCATTATAACAAACAATAATCCGAAAAAAAAAATGTATGAAAGCATGGCTCTTTTGCCGATGCTGCAGCAGCAGCCACTTTGTTTCATTAGTGTCCCCGTTCGGTGTTGGCTTTCTTTGTCTACGACAACCTTTGAACAGAAAAAAACATCCATTGTCAATTGGAATGTGGGTGTGCTTCGGCCACGGAAAGTGCAAATCGTGGGTGTTATGCCTTTATGTCGTCAGCAAAGTGACGTGGTAAGGATTTAAAATTAATGCTTCAGAATAATACAAAGCAAATAGTAGTGACGTTTGATTCTTCGACGTCAATACTTTTATCTTTATGAAGAAGAAAAATAAAATTTAATTTCCTTGACAAGAATTTTCTTATACTCAGAAACATAATCGTAAAATTGCTTACGAGGAGGTCAATTGTTCACTTATAGAAATGTTCGATGCAGGTTTAATCTTATATTTATTTCCCATATAAGGGTACTCAACATTTTCGGTATGCTGAAGGTTCTGACTCAATTTGTAACGGAAACGGCTTAAATTTAATGTTTCGTGTTCTTCTACCAATTGTTTGGTATTAACTGTTAATTATAATTTTAATTTAATATTTTCATCAATACAATATTTCTATTTGTAGGAGAGGTACGAGAAGGAGTCAGTTCATAAATTTCCTATTTTTGAAAAAAAAAAAAAATGAAAAAAATCGCCAAATTGTTTTGCAAGTTATGAGAGATTTTAATATTGACAATTGTAACCAATCGTGGAAGAGGTACAAGAAGGAGCAGTCCGATATATCCTATCTTCACACCAGTTCTGTATTGATAGAAATATTGGAAGGTTCCGAGTTTGAAAATAATCGGCTGCTGGTTTCGAGTTGGATGAGCTTATTCAAAATGTTGACCCCTTTTTGTGGGAGGTACCAGAAGGAGCGGATCGATATCTAACATCTTCACACCAGGTGTTGTGCTAATAGAAATATTGGGATGTGTGAAATTTTAGTACAATTTTATTTTTCAAATTTTTGACCTTTTGTGAGAGAGCTACGTGATGGAGTGGGCCGATATTTTAACCTGACTTAGCACTGATACAAATATCAAGATTTGCAAGGAAGTTTCCAAAAAATCGGATGATCTATTCATGTCCTATAAGGTAAATTATTTTCTGTAAAAATAATGACCTTTTGTGAAGGAGGTACAATATTTATTGTGGTGGACCAATATTGCCTATCTCCGAACTCGATCTAAGTTTGACAAAAATTATTCGATGTACCAAGTTTGCACGACGTACGGACACCCAAGATCGACTCAAAATGTCATGAAACGAAATTTGGTCCAAAGAGACCTAGAGTCGTTATTTCGATGAGGCACGTTTTGGCCATATCAAATGATAAATACCCTTTGTAGCCATATGATGGTAAAAAATAAAATGTCTAAATATAATCATACGAAGATCTATTCCTCCAAAGTCAAGGATCTTTTAATAGAAGATTTCTAAAGTTTTCTCATAGAATACCCAAAAGTCCACGGGGTCTTCTCATAGAACACCACAAGGTCTTCCCATAGAAGACCATATCGTCTTCTCATAGAACATTACAAGGTTTCCTCATAGGAGACCCATGGTGTTTTCGTAGAAGATCACAAGGTCTTCTCATATAAGACCACATAGGAGACCCCAAGGTCTTCTTATAGGAGACAAAATGGTCTTCTCATAAAGTCATAGAAGACCACAAGGTCTTCTATAAGAAGACCCCAATAACTTCCCATAGAAGAGCCCAAGGACTTCTCATAGAAGACCACATGGTATTCTAATAGAACACCATAAGGTCTTCTCATAGAAGAAAACTGGGTCTTCTCATGGAAGACCACAGGGACTTCTAATAGAAGACCCCAATGACTTCTCATAGAAGAACCCAAGGTCTTCTCATAGAAGACCACATGGTATTCTC